GGCGTGGTGGTGGTGGAGTCGGGCTGGGGCTCCATCCTGCCCACCGTGATCCTGGCCAACATGCTCAACGGGGGCCCCGCCGCCCGCTCGGGGAAGCTGAGCATCGGGGACCAGATCATGTCCATCGACGGCACCAGCCTGGTGGGGCTGCCCCTCGCCACCTGCCAGGGCATCATCAAGGTACGCACGGGCCTGGGCTCCCGCCCGCCTCCCTTGTGCTCCAGGCGTGGGGGCCAGAGACCCCCCTGAGGCGGTGCCTCTGCTGAAGCCAGAGAGACCCGGGGCTGTCCCGTCGCCCAGGGCTCCCACGCTGCCCGAGGTGTAGGCGACCAACCGTCCTGGTTTGCCCGGCCACCTGGGAGGCGGTTCTCGGGTAAGAGGGTGGGCCTGCTGCTTGCAGCTGAGGCCCCAGAGGGGTCAGGCAGAGGGTTTCTCAGGGACCCCGGGCGGCAGCCCCGCTGTGGTCTGTCCCCACCCACCGTGGTTGTGGCGCAGGACACCTCTCCCCCCTCGTCAGCCTGACCCCAGGAGCTGGCCCAGCAGAGTGTCTACCTGGTGGGTGACCTCACAGACAGACGAGGGACGACATGCCTCAGGCAGTGGTGCCCAAGGCCTGGGTGGCGTGGAGCCTCCCGCCAGGGGCTGTGGGTGCTGGGCCACCAGCTCTGAAGGGCTGTGTGCGGCCATCCACCCCCTCCGGGCAGCCCCAAGCCGCCTCTGGGCTGAGGACTGGCCAGAGGAGCCGTGGGAGGCTTGGCCGCCCTCCCAGAACCTGGGCGCTTGCCGAGCCTCGTTCTCTGGGCCGAGCTGCCTTGGCTCCAGGTGGCCCGTGTCGCGTGGACACTGCAGATGCCCACTGAGCCAGGCACTCCTGTCCCCAGGTCTTCCCCACAGGAAGGTGACTGGGCCAGCGGGTGGCTGTGCCCAGTGCCACAGAGCCTGGCATCTGGCTCTGTCTGGAGCAGAGGGCAGCTCAGAGCACGGGGCCACAGCCCACCCTGCACCTGGGCTCCCTGCACACGGGTCAGGGTGGGTGACGCCTTCACCCCTCACAGAGGGACACAGGCTCCTGCTCGGCCGTGCTCACCTGACTCCTGTCCCCGCTCTGCAGGGTCTGAAGAACCAGACGCAAGTGAAGCTCAACATCGTCAGCTGCCCGCCCGTCACCACGGTCCTCATCAAGCGGCCAGACCTCAAGTACCAGCTGGGCTTCAGCGTGCAGAACGGGATTGTGAGTCCGCTCCCCGGGCCACGCTAGGGTCTGGGCGCCGGTCCACCAGGGACACAGCCAGGCCGGGAGGGAGGCAGGGCCCTTGCGGCCCCGCAGCATCAGACTCACTTCCACCCACAGCGAGCTGCCCGGAGGGAGCTGGTCTGCCCCCAACTCCGGGCCCGTCTGTCAGGCCCGAGCTCTCCAGCCCAGGCTCCTGTTCTCGGCCTGCCTTTTCCATTTTCAGCTTCATTACACCCACAGCACAGGCGTCGTTGGCAGACAGGCCCTGGATGACCCAGTTGTCGCTTTTTCTAAAAGGGTCCTTGGTCAGGGGAACCTCCTAGAAAGGCACAGAGGACTCCCCGCGGCTGGTCCCGTTTCTCAGGGGCGAGGTCACTCTCCCCAGGCTCCAGCTGAAGTGGCGGCATTGTGGGCAGTCGGGGGTCGGTCTGTTGCTGGGCCCACGGCGTCAGTAACCAGGCCACGGGCGTGCACGCGAGGCCCTGGTGGCCGGCGGGCTCTCCTCTCGCTGGGACGCCGTGCCCACTGACTCGGTGTGCCACGCAGCCAGGTTCCCTGGAAAAGTTTGCCGACACCGGCGTTAGTCTTGCTCAAGTGCCTTTTCCATTTTCAGCTTCATTACACCCACAGCACAGGCGTCGTTGGCAGACAGGCCCTGGATGACCCAGTTGTCGCTTTTTCTAAAAGGGTCCCTCCTCTCTTCCCACACCACCACCCACCAAGGGACAAAGTCTCCAGCTGGGAGATGCCGCCTTCCTCTGAGAGGGGCAGCCTGCCCCCCAAACTCCAGCGGGGGTTGGAGAAGCGGCTGTGACAGGCGGGAGTCCCTGCCCTTAGTTGTGAGGATCCCTAAAAAGACAAAACCTCAGAGAGACGATAGCCACTGGGCAGTGCCTGCAGGTGGAGTCCTTGCCCGTCTTGGGGGCAGGAGCGCCGGGCGGTGTGGTGGGACCGCGTGCTAACGACCGTGTCTGCTCAGATCTGCAGCCTCATGCGGGGCGGCATCGCCGAGCGAGGGGGCGTCCGCGTCGGCCACCGCATCATCGAGATCAACGGGCAGAGCGTGGTGGCCACGGCCCACGAGAAGATCGTGCAGGCTCTGTCCAACTCGGTCGGGGAGGTGAGACCCGAGGCCCCAGGCGAGTCCCTCCCGTCTGTCCCACCTGCTCAGCCTGCGCGGGAGGGGCAGCACCAGACCTGGGGGGGGGCACGTCCGCTGGCAGCGGGAGGGGAGGAGGGAGGCCTCAGCCCCTCTCTCGTTGGCAGATCCATATGAAGACCATGCCCGCCGCCATGTTCCGGCTCCTCACGGGCCAGGAGACCCCGCTGTACATCTAGGAGCCGAGGCCGGACCCCACGCTCCCCTGACAAGAGGGTCTGTCTTCCCCCAAGGAGAGCGCGGGGCAGTCAGTGTGTGCGCATCGCGCTGTTCTCGTCGCGGCGGACGAGGTGTGTGTACCTGTGCTGTGCAGTCTGTCCTCCGAGCCCCAGCGCGTCCCTGGAGACAGCGAGCTCCTGGGGCGGCAGGGATGGGGTCCTGGGAGGCCCCCGCTCTCAGGACGTCCTTGTACGTGACGTTGGGGAGACACCATTGTCTTGAACTCGGAGGAGGAGCCGTCGCCGAGTTAAAGAAAGGACGAGGCCACCACATCCAGCTCCATCCTTAGAAACCCCGCGGGGCCGACAACCTCTGCAGCCCCTTCCTCAGACCCCAGGGTTTCCAGGTGGCCCACCTGCCGCCCGTCCTCACCTGTCCACGCTCCTCCCGGGGACGAGGCGGAGCCTGGGCATCGCCCCCTCTTTACAATCCCTGTCGACACACGTGCTTCCCAAACACACAGAAACCTCGCCCCCTGCCCCTCCTGGGGGCCAGGCGCCTCCCGGGAGCAGCCCCGGCGGGTGAAGGTGACCCCAGCCTGGCCCCGCCCCGAGGTCAGTGCTGGCCGGCGGCGCGTGTCCGGGAGATACACTGTGATAAGAAGCCTTACCCGCTAACAACTGCGCTCGGATTCCCGTCGGCACGGCGTGCCGTGTGCTGCATGCGCCACGTAGGAAGCCTCGCTGACCCATAATAAACCCGACGTCGTCCTCACCCTGTGTGGCTGGTTTGTTAACGGAGGCGCCGGACTCGCACTTACCTCTGCACGGGCCTTGGCCCGGGGACGGGACCTGGTGCCGCTCGTGTCCCTCCTGGCCTCTCCCTGCCCAGGTCGGCGACGGTGACAGGTCACCTGGCTCACCCCTCTTCCCAGTGGGGAGACAGGCTGCTGACTAAGGAGAGAGGCCACCTGGGGTCCCCCCGGGAGAGGTGCGTGTGTGTGTGTGTGTGGAACGGAGCCGGACCCCCCTCAGCGTCTCCTCACCTGGGGTCCCCTGCAGCCTGTCCCGCGGCTCTGCCAGGCTTCTCTCCCTGGGGCCACCGTCCGGTGTCACCTGGCGTGGGGAGGCCCAACCTGTCAGCCTGGGGACCCTGGACGATGGGACCCACCCGGCTGCGAGGGGGCTGCTGGGGAGGCCCGCACCCTCGGGGGACGAGGAGGAGCCCACAGGAGTGGAGCTGGAGGGAAGGGACGCCTCCCCGTGGAGCCCAGGGCGGGCAGAACAGCACCTGGGGAGGAACCCCACGGCTAACAGTGAGGTGGGGGGGGCACCAAATGATACACCGAAAATCCAAATTCAAGAGCACTTCCAGCCTGGAGCCCCCCCTACACACACACAGGAGCCCAAGCTCCGCCCTGGTGCGGGGGAGGGGGGCTGGCCTCACTCCCACGTCTCAACTGCAGACAGCCCCCCAAGCCTGGCCCAGGGGCCCTGTGACCCTGCGACCCCAGAGACGCTGTGAAGTAAAAGCCCCCTCCAGAGACCAGGCCGGGGGCTGCGCTGGAGATGTTGGGGGGCCCCTTGGAAAGCCCTCACCTAACTGCCTGCACAGGAACTTGGCTGGGGGACTTGCGAAGCCCTCAGCTGAGAAAAACCACATGCAAACGAGTGAAACGGGGTTACAGTTTGTCCCCACACACAAATGTTAATTCAAAAGGGATCAAAGACCAACCTGTCAGACCCGAAACCAGTTACACAGAAGAAAACACGGACCCGGGGCACAGGGGGCATCTTAGGAACGACCCAAAGGCCAGGGAAGTGAAGGCAGAAATGAATGAACGACCACATCAAACTGAAAAGCTCCTGCACCAAAGGAGCTGAAGAAACCGGACGGGAGGGGATATTTGCAAACAGCAGCTCCGACAAAGGGTTACCTTCCAAAGTACAGGAATAAGGCGCCCAACTCCACACCAAACAGCCCAGTCAGAAAGCGCCCTCTCCGACAGACACAGGACAGTCGGGGAGACGCAGAGCTCCCCTCCCACCTGCCAGAGGGGCAGCAGCAGCAGGACAAGCAGCAAGCGGGGGGGCTGTGGAAGGGGGGACCCTCAGTCACTGCTGGTGGGAATGCGACAGCGCAGCCACTAGGGAAAGGGCCTGGCGATTCCTAAGAAATTGAGCACAGAGCTGCCACACGACCAGCAGCCCCTCCTGGGTGTGTGCCCCAAACCCTCCAAACCCTGTATTCACAGACACTGCACCCCTATGTCGGCTGCAGCAGCATTCACGGTGGTCGACACGTGGAAACAACCAGTGTCCGCGTTAGAGGACCAGGCACATGTAGACAACAGACACTCCGCAGCCCTAAGCAAGGGGGACAGCGCCATTTGCAACAACATGGCTGGACCCGAGAATATGCTGAGTGAGATCCGTCCGGCAGACAACGCTATGAGCCGTACGATCTCACTCCTTCGTGGACATAAAACTGAAAATCGGGGACACAGACTGCAGTGCGGTGGCTGCCAGAGGCAGGGGGTGGGGGGAGGGGGTCCTCATATATGGTGACGGGGGAAGATGTGACTTTGGGTGCTGGGCGCGGTGCCATAGACGGACCTTGTAGCGTGGAAACCCTCCCTGAACCCTGTGTGGTCACCCTTCTCGGCCACAGGAGGGCCAGGACCGGGAAGTCTGTCTGGACCCCAGGGTCATAAAGGAGTGGAAACTGCCCTAAGACGCTGATCACTTACCTGCATTCGGGCCGCACTCCAGGCCCAGCCCGGCCGGTGCCGGCACGTGAGGAGGACGGCCAGCTCCCGGGGCTGCCATCGTCGCCCCGCGTCCCCGGCTCGGTGCTTGCAGCCCTTCCCTCCGCACATCTCATCCCCCAGCCCCTTCCCTTAAATAAACCCCATTTTCCCTCATCCACCGTCAGACGGCGGGTTAGCCCGTCCGCCCACACCACCACGTTATTAACCTTATCCTATGAACCAATGCCAGTCACCCCCGACATTTAATTTTAAAAAAAGAGAGAGAACCTAGAGAGCAGGTTTCCTGCTTCCCCGTCTGCGCGAAGTGCTCACTCCTCACCTGCAGTGTCCCCGGGGGTCCTCCCTGTCCCAGAGGCGGGAGGCAGCGGCCAGTCGATCCCGGCGGCCACAGCTGACCATCTCACGGCTCCTTCCCCGACCTGTTCCTGGGCTGGACACCCGGCTCCCCTTCTCACGTCGGCCGCCGTGACCACAGAGCAGAGGGCCCGTCCAGTCCCCCCCATGCCAGGCCCGGGGGCTGTCTCGGCCTCGTCCAGGGCAGGGGCCTCGGTGGTCGTTCAGGTGCTGGTGGCTGCACTGTGGGCCCAGGTGTTGCCACGGCTGCAGAGGTGCCCCAGGGCCCGCGTGGGGATGTGGCCAAGTACCAGGTGCCCAGCTGCTGGCTGCTCCTGCAGACGCCCCACGGGGGGGTGTTTTGCACAGAAACGGTTGACAGCCTGGGTCCTCCCAACACCGCCATGGCTGCCACCTCCTGGCTGGGCCAGCAGAGACCTGCTTTCTCGGGAGACACACGGATCTGGGGGACACGGGCCTCTCCCCCAGACCTCCACCCTCGAGGCCAGTCCGGTGGGGGGGGGGCAGATGCAAGAAAACGAGAAGCAGTGGCTTGTCCCAAGGGTTCCTGTGACGGATTCAACCACAGTGTCTGCTCCGCGGTCCTCGCACCAGGTAGGGACGGTGGAGAGCGCCGGGCGGGGCCCCCACGGGGGGAGGGCTGAGAGAGGGGGCGCTCCACAAAGCCCCTTCCACGCCTGTCCCCCTTCATACATATTGGCACGGTTCCCTCAGCCCCGCGGGCAAAGCGGGGCCCAGGACAGGAGAAAGCAGCCTCAGCCTCCGTGCCCCCTCTGTCCACGTCGGGAACCAAATCGGGGAGAATCCTGGGCTGGAAGCACTTCGCGTCTTCATTACCCGACAGTCGCCTGCCCCTGGCTTCTTGTGCGGCTGGTCAGTCCGAGAGCCCACGTGCCTGACAGGTGCGCACTGGACAGATGGACGGTCCTCGGTGTGACTGGGCTGGGCAGGACGTGTGTCCCCCAAGGATACGATGGACCGGCTCCCCCGGGGGAGGGGCCAGCGGCCACCCCCAGGTCCTCCGGGGCCGCCTCTCC